TGAGATTTAATTAGTATAGCCAAGCTAATATATGTGTGGCAGTTTGGCACCCAAATTGTAGGCGTGGTTTGCTAAAGCACACATGATGATGAACCTAGTAGTAATGTGCATTTGCCACCTACTTATTTGATTGAATATCGATCAAACCTTACCTTATAACTTTCCGTTTATCCGTCATTCATGCCTTTGAAACACACAGCAACCAAACTAACTATTTAAAATACGGAGCGGTAAAGAATAATGATGGGAGAAACACTATAAGCATAAAAGAATTAATATGCATTAATTTGATCGGTTAATTAGGCGCAATGAAATAGTAATTAAAACATACTTTAGAAACTAAAAAAATATTATAAGTAATAAGAGCATAGCTGAGTTGGTAACTAGTAACTGAAAAAGGGAAAATAACATGTACACCCTTTGGTTTGACATACCTTTTGATATTTGTTCAGTTCAATTATTAAAATATAATATAAGGATAATCAATTTAGCTGGTGTTTACATGTTATATGCATAGTTATGTTTTTAAGTTTATCTGCCTTTAATTTTAGATCAAAAAGTAATATTTTTTAATGAGTGTGTTGTATAGTATATTGAACCGAAGGATATATCAATTAGTATCTCTAAAAAAATCTTACCAACCAATGTCTCTAAAAAAATGTTACCAATCAGTGTCTCTAAAAAAACATTAATTTGATATCTAGTTTTCAATAATTCAGAGTAAAACCTTAGCTATCTCTCCCACTTTATCATCCCTAATCCTCTCCACTCTCTCTTGCTTCCGTTTTCCTCATAGTTGCTACCTCTCTTCCCATTGGCAATTAGGGAGCATGAATAAAGATGAGAGTTTCACTCTTTTTTTGAGGGTCCTCGCTTTTCAATGGTTATTCTCTCCCTTATGGGGATTGTTTTGTCTTCCTCTTTTGGAGTCTCTACTTGGGCTCTCTATGTTTTTTTTTTTTTTATTGAGTTTTGCCCTAGCAAGTTGAAGAGAATGGCATCATAGTGATGGGACATGGGCTTGTATTGTTTGAAATTTGTAACACTTCAATTATTAATGGCATAGTTGGGAGACAAAAGGAGGATCCAACTCTCCTCTAAGATAACTTAGGAATGAATTTGGTGGATCTTGAAAAAGACTCCAACACTCCTCCAAATTAGTGCATGCATGTGTGTAGGCATTATTGTTTGGAATATTACCTACCATGAGTGGAAGCTGGCTTAGTAGATAGGATTACTTATTTGTGTAGGATACTTGTAATGGTAATTTCTTTGTTTTGGGAGCTCTAACTTTTCCCTTATGGTGATTGCCCTAGCAATCTCTAGTTATAGACAGTTTACTTTACTTAATTATCTAAATTTGTTATAGGTGAAATCTTTTTTTTTTTTTAATCACCCATGTTCAAAATCTTCTATTTCTAGTGTTGTAGATCAATTTAGCTTTTTTTTTTTATCCTCTAATGATCTATTAGTCTAGGAATTATTTTTTTTATTAGCTAAGAAAAAGGTTTTTTATTATATAGAATACAATGGGTACCCTTACCCATACTCAAACGCAATTAATGTATAGACCTTCTCAATACCAACAAAGTAGATAAACCATAAGTTTCTTCCATAACCAAAGAACACAATAAGTTTCTTCCATACTCTACACTTAGCCTCTTATCCTTGGCCCAATTATAGTCTACAATACTGCTTCAAACACGTTATATAGATGTTGTTCAATAGCAACAACACACCCAACTAGTGTTTTTTTTTTTTTTTCAAAAAGCAAAGGATTTTATTAAATTAAGTGAGTACATGGGGTACTCAAACCTATATACATAATCAACCTCTACTGAAACAACTGCACGCAGCATTTAGAGGCTCATTTATAAAATCTTGTAACACTTGGGGTTGAGGATCTAGTTAGAAAAACAAAATTGTGCTTCCTTTCCCTTATACTTGACCCAAAGGAAAGCTTGAATCTACACTTGATTAAAAATCTTAAGTAGATTGACCAGTCCACTTCTAAATATTATATCATTCCTAGTAGTCTAGATGGTCCAGCCAAGAAAGAACCAGACTAGAACCCAACCTAGCCGTTCACTACTATTAGTGACTAGGTATTCCTTTTGAATGAAAGAATCCCAACATGAACCAGCAATGACAGCAGTTATACTCCACCATTTAAAGGACATTACCCAGATTTTTTTAAGTAATCGAACAATGGAGAAAAAGATGGTTGTTGTCTTCTGCATTTCGGCCACAAAAATTACAATTAACATCTTCAATCTCTTTAATTAATCCCTTTTTCAACAAGTTAGTTTTTGAGGGAATCCTATTAAGTAGTAGTAGCCAAATGAACCCATAGACTTTACTCGGAATAAGGGGGGTTCCAAATCTTCTCAAAGACTTATTAGTGTGATGATGGCTATTGTTGGACCAAAGTAGTATAACCTAAGCTTGTAGAATATTCACCCAATTTATTTGGTTCCCAAGTCCAGGTGTCTCCCTTCCCTTTGGTTAAGTTGATCTCATTAAGGAGCCTTTTGAGTTCTTGCATAGATTCCTACTCCCAAGAGAGAAGGGTATGTCTCTAAGGAAGAATCCAAGACCATTTATCACCTTCCTATCTACCCATCTATTGAATTGTGTTGTCTTTCCCTGTAGAAAGCAAATATAATCCCAAAAAAACGTTAACAAGTGCTCTAGCACTACTCCATGAATCCTTCCAAAAGCTAACTTTCTCTCAATCCCCAATCCTAATATAAAAGCTATCTAACAGCCATCCCCTATTATTCTCCTCTAAAACATCTAGCCTACAGAGATCCCTCCACCATTTAGACCTTGCACTCTTCCCTTCTTTTACCCAATTGCATCAAGTTTCACCCTCAAACCCATATTTTGCTTTAATTAGGCTTATAAATAACCTAGAATGACCCTTAGCCAATCTACTCCACCACTTTCCAAGTAGTGGAAAATTAAAAAATCTAAGATCCTTGATCCCAAGCCCCCCATCCCATTTACTTTTGCAAACCAACTTCCAATTGATCCAATGGACTTGCCTAGTCTCCTCATACCTTCTCCACAAGAATTTATTCCTAATTTTATTATGAGCTTTAACAATACCTTTAGGTGTGAGGTAGACAGATAAGAAGAACACTAAGAGTGACGTGAGCACAGAGTTAAGGAGGGTACATAATTCTACCACCAAAGGATAACCAACGAGCCTTCCAATTTAGCAACTTCTTCTAGAAGGATTCAACTAATGGTAGCCACACGCTAAGTCTTCTATGATTGCCACCTATTAGAAATCCCAAGTATTTAAAGGGCATTTCACCAATTTTATAATTGAGTATCCAAGCCATTTTTTGCATCGATTCTTCCTCTACATGTATACCCAAGAGTTGGCTTTTATGGTAATTAATTTTTAAACTAGAAACGAGCTCTAAAGCTCTCATTATGCACTTTACAACTCAAATATTATTCTCAGAAGCCTCCCCAAAAATGATTGTGTTGTCTGCAAATTGAATATGGGAGAATCTAACACAAAATTCCCCACTTGGATTCCTTCACACAATCCTCTATCAATCACAATGTTTTTTTTTTTTTTGAAAAGAAAAAGAATTTCATTAAGTGAGTACAAGGGTATGAAAAACAAAAGCTAACAATGGGGTCTAAAAACAAAAAGACAGAAGCCACCCCAATCAAAGAATTTGGGAGCTAACTTCCTACCTATTCTCTATTTCCTGATAGTCAAGCATCTCACTAGGTTAGAAATCCATTCCATAAAAGAAATATATTCTAGGTTCAATAGAGTTCTAACCTAGTGAAATGAGCAAATTTGTACCCATTCGAACAACTTATCCTCATTGAGCTCCTTATGTTGGAAAGCAATTTCATTCCTACTCAACCACAATGACCATACTATGGTAAGCCATATCATATTCCATCCTTTTTTCAGACTTTTTGAACCCTTAAGCCATTTATGTTGGTGGAAGACCTCCAAGCAAGTGTTCTCGAGGACATAATGTAACCCCTACCAATTGAGGCATCTTGTCCATAACTTGAAAGAAATTTTGCAAGATACAAAAAGGTGGTTTGTATGTTCAAGAAATGAATCACACCAATAACACTTGATATTTTGATTAGCATCTAAAATTCCACGTGTTGCCAAATTGACCTTTGTAGGGATTCTATCTAAAAGCAGTTTCCATGAAAAAGCACTCACTTTTGATGGTACCTATTCACCCCATAGCTTTCTATACACCAATAGTTTGTTTTTATCTTTGTTTGCAAGCCACTCGTATGCCGAACTTATAGTGTATTTTCCCTTAGCATCTAACCTCCAACTCCAAATGTCTTCAGCATCTTGCACCAGCTTAATGTCTTTTATGGCGTTGATCAATTTTTGTAATGTATCCTCTTCCCAAGCTCAAAGTGGTCTTCTCCAATGGAATCTTCAACTCCAACACCCTTCTGTCCATCGTCCCATATCATATATGCCATAGTTTTTTCTTGTAACTAGTGAAAAAAGTTTCGGAAAAGCATTAGCCAATGACTCCCCCCTCATCCATACATCTTTCCAGAATCTAATTGACTTCGCATCCCCCAAATTCAAATTGAAATTTGACTCCAACCATCGCTCTTTATTACCTAAGCTTGTGTTCAATTTGCAAACATCATTCCACCAAGATGAACCTAAACCTTGACCTACTCTCAACCATGGTAGCCAATTCCCTTCAACACTCCCATATTTTTCTTTTAGTACCCTAGTCCACAATCCCTTCTC